AACAGAAGCAAGGGAAAGAGAAACACACGAACGATATCCAATGTAACTAATAACTATAATAACTACCCTTCATAAATTTCAAGCACCAAACTTCAATCATAAAACTGAAATCCTAACAAAAAAAAAAAAAAAAAAAGAAGATAACAGTAGTAAAATAAGTTATGCTGAGCCTCAGAGACAGAGAGAAAGAGGAGCGTGGTCAAAGTATCCTTCTCCAAAAATGACTCTGTTCCCACTTTCCTTGCACCTGCTTGGTCGCACAAACTTCTTCACACCCATCTCATCCTCACCATAACCAACGTACTCTTCCAGCTCGCCCTCTTCTTCACCACACGCTTCATTGTTCAATGTTTCAGTTTCTCCTTCATCATCACCATAACAAGTTTCCACGCTCTCAAAAAGCCGAAGCCTAAGCCTTCCATTGGCACGTTCAGCTTCAAAGTAGGGTTCAGGGGAAGAGGAAGCAACAGCTTCCAAGACAAGCCTTCCATCTTCACGATGAGACCTAACTTTGATCCCTCCCATTGAAGTCAAGGGTGGTGGGAAGGTGGAGGCGCGGTTAAATCTTTTAGAGGCAGAATTTTTGTTAACTAGTGGAGTGTTGTTGCTCCTTAAATTAGTTTGGAGTGAAAATACAGACACGTCATGGGTGTTATCGCTGGCATTGCTACCAGTTTCGCAGCCTAAGCTTTCGGTGCATAGTTCCAAGCTCTTTGCGCTGAGCGTGGAGGAGGAGCGTTTAACCAAAGGGTGGACGTAGACATTATCGGTGTGGTGCTCCTTGCAATGAGAAATGTTGGAGAGAGATTGAAGGAAACTCCAGTTTTTGTTTTGGTGTTCATCGTTTGGTGGAGTCAACTTGAGCTTCAAGACACGTGGTTCCACGACACTTGATTGCAACCCTTGACAGACACTTGAGTAAGACATTGATATGTGTTGTTGTTATCCACAAAGGAACAGAACAGGGGAGGGAAGAAACAGGGGAGTGAAAACAGAGGAGCTTATAAGTTATTATATGATAAAAGTGATGAATTGGTTTGGATGATACTGAAGATGGAGAAGTGAGGAATAGACATGAAAGAGAAGTGTAAAGGGTGGCTCTCTTTATATAGTTGCATACCCCTAATTCCAAACATCGCTCCGCAACTTTATTATTCTCTAGTGGGGGAGGGGGACCCTAGAACACTCAAGAATCATTAAAAAAAAATTAATTTTTTTTTCTTTGTTTCACATTGTGAAAAATTGTGGACAAACATGATACACCCATAATTCTTTGCAGGTTTTTTTTTTTTTAACTTTTCTTATTTTATATTTAAAAAAATGGTTTTTTTTTTAAATTAAGGAGTGTTTTTATTGAGTATAAAAATTAATCTCACTTTAAAATTTGACAAACATCGAATAAATAAGCATTTTTTAATTTCTTTTTTGCATTTTTAGAGCTGAATTATTTTTCAAGTGGCTTTAATGTTATTTTTAGTTTGAAATAAAGTTTTATCTTGTTAACTTGTGTAATAAAAGTTTACTTTAAATGTCACCCTAAATAATTAAGATAAAAAAATTAATTTTGATTCAGAAACAGTATAAGATTTTATTTTCTTAGAAAATGACACATCAATTTTACTCATTCCACATGTTAGCAAGAAGAAGAAAAAATATGTATGAGCTTAACTGCATAATTACACAGCAGTAACTGACTAATTCAAGTGATGTTTCAAATCCACCATTTATGAAATTGTTTCTATCAAGTCCCTTGATTGTGATTATGACTAATAACAAAGAAGGAGTTTTGCATAAACTTCAATTTAAAATCAAATTGACAAATCCCTACTTGATAATTTGTGGTAGAAATTTGTATGAGAAAAAATCACTCTGCTAAAGTTCAATACAAGATCTCCCTGTGCTTATTTGAGGTGATTAGGAAATTAGGTGAAATTATACATCGGAAGTAGTAGTCTGATTTTTCAATAATGACAAACGAATATTGCTAAATCAATGGCCAATCAATATTTCAATAGTGTCAGTCCAAAGGTAAAAGGTAGACCAAGTGGGGGAGAGGACTCTCCTGAAAATTGTACTAGTTCATTGAAAATTTTAGAAGCTTATAAGGACTCTCCTGAAATCAAATTGCAGAGAATAAAATAAAGGAAAAGGTAGACCAAGTGGGGGAGAGGGGAACATAATTCCTGGGTGGGAACTTCGTAGTTCAGACAAGCGAATCAACCTAGGACATGTGTAAGATTATGCTAATAAAGATAGGTACATTTTTAACATGGCCTATATGAGTTAACATATAACAAAGGTTTTCTTCTTTTGTTTTGGTACATGCATATAATATAGGTCTTGAATTTATATTGAAAAATTAAGGTAAAACCACGGGGGAAGAAAAATAGAGTAAGGTTGCATGGAGTTATCAATTGAACAGTTCTGTTATTCAAAAGTTTTAAAAAATAATAGTATGGTCTTATCGATTACGATCATTACCTAGTCCATTCTTTTGCAAAGGGATTCTTTATTCACTGAATTGAATTCCCATTAGAGAAAATTGAAGGGAAAAATGAACAAGTGGAGAGACTTAATAGGAGTAGTAACAAATTTTGGTGTTACTATGATCATTTCTTCCCTTTGAAGATTCAAATAAGAAGCACTCTGAATTTGAATTGAAATTTGGGTCCTGCTGGTGTCCACTTAGTTGCAATTGTAATACAAGAAGTGGTAGTGAACGCGTTTCTGTTGTTTGTTGAACCCTCGTCGAGGCATTGAGCTTTTCGTTGAATATAAGATTGTATAGTAATAGTATTTAAAGTCAACCGACCAAGGAAAAAGGAACCCACGAAATAGATAAACAGTGCCTCAATTGCTTTTTCTAACTATTGATTTAAGAAAATTTTAGTTTTATTATCTATCTTCTTAAACATTAAAATAATATTATCATATTTTTAAATATACTCTTATTTTTAATCTAATTCTTAAAATAATTATACATTTATCATAAATAAGAGAATAATAATATCAATTATATTTCTTGAATTTGAACAGTGTTTTTAAAATAGACAAACAAAAAAGAAATATAGACAATAAAACCTCTGAATAATCTTCATTTTCATGTCTTCTAAGCTAAGAGAGGTCTGTCAAACTCACTTCACTTCTTCTATTAATCATGAAGATAAGAGCTATCTTTATATTTATTTGACGTCTTCCATTAATAATTAATTTTAATTTAAAACATCATTCCGTAAAGAGTCTTGTGAAAGTATTTTATTAGAAATCTTGTTAAAAATCGCTGTTAATGAATGTTAGGAATTTGTCCACTATACATATTAGTGGTATTGATTAACATTTGTCCTCTATAAACTTTAGGGCATTGCTTATGAATGTTTTAAAATGAGTATTAGTCAAAGAACATTAAAAATTTCTCTTCATCTAAAACAATAATTATATATTAAATAATTTTACAATAAATTATTTTTATTTTGCTAGTTAATATTTTAAGGACATATTAGCATTTACCTTAATTAGATTGCTATGTATATTTCTGGATAAAGAAAAAGACATTTTATTATTATTCCTTCTTTATCTTTGGCCTTTCTAGTTTCTAAGCTTTCCATCGGCTAAATCCGAACTTAGAAATTAACCAAAATTATACACAAATGCATAGGAGTGTATTATTTGAGTAACAATTTTTACTTTGACGACAATGCACTCGTCGCAGATCCACTCCAACTATTGTTGTCACTATAGAACTTGGCACAAGCGAGGTTGATTTATGGAAGCAAATTAGGGCCTCAAGGGTTTGATTCAATTGGGTTTTGACAAAAGAGGTACAATTGTGGAGAGGGTGTGTGGCGATGTCAAAGGTGAGTGGGGAAGGTGGCATGTGCAAGCACGCAGTGATGATGGAGCGGGCGGTGTGACGATCAGATAACAGATGAGGCTTGAGAATGGAGTGGTGGCCATCGCGAGCATGGCAAAGGAAGGCAGCGTAGTAGAGGAAGAAGGGAAAGGCGAAGTTGTTGGGGGCAAGGCCAAGGAAGTGTTGGCGGTAGAGTGGGGAGGGTGGTCTTGCGATTAGGGCGAGGGTAAGGAAGGTCGACAACCTCGTTTGCCTCCTCCTTGAAGGAAACCAATTCAGAAATCTTGTCTTCATGGTCCTTCATTGCTTCTTTGATGCTTATTGATTTCTTTTCGTATTTAGCTTTAGCTTCAATAGTGGTTATTGACTTTTCTACGAGTTCAAAGTTCAATTTGGGTAGTTGGTGGGCAAAGAAGTTTGACGACGAGCTGCACCTCTTTTGTCAGATCTAGTTTTTGGGGTTTGTCAGAGTTGGTTTTGGGGTTTCTTGGTCATGGTTTCATTGGGAAGGAAAGGATTATGAACAAAATGAAACACAGGCAAAGGTATTGACAGGGGTGATGAAGGTGTTTATCCAGTCAGAGGAGCGGAATGAGACAATGACGATGGCAGTGGAAAAGTGGAAGAGAGGATTAGGTAATTGAGTGGGGTTTAGGTTTTTTTTTTGGACAAAATGATCATTTACCACCAAAAAATAAAATTATATATTAATAAAAAAATTTATCACCAAATAAATCTAAACCGTTCAATTTAATTATTTATGAGTTAATCACCTATACACTACTAGTGTAAAGTTATTTTACACTGGCAACCAATCATATCTTTTAATAGTGACATGTCAGTTGCTTATTTAATGAAATAATAATGAAATAAGTAACTTTAAAAGATATGATTGGTTGCCAATGTAAAAAAACTTTACACTGGTAGTGTAGGGATGATTACCTCATTATTTATATGTCTTATGGTATTTTTTACTTCTCCACCGATAAACTACATAAAAACTCTTTTTTATTTGTTGGTCCACCCATACGAATTTTTTATTGAAATAAAATTTTTTTAAAAAAAATTTACCAAAACAGCACCTGTACTACTTTATTTACCCAAATAGCACCTTTCACTATTCACGTTCAGAATTCGGTTCTCGGGGGAACCAAATTCTGAACTTCAATCTTTTTTTTTTTTTTTGCTCAAAATTCGGTTCCCAGGGAACCGAATTCTGAGTAGTGTTAAAAAAAAATTTCTTTTCTGTTTGTAGTTCGGGTTGTGGGTTAATGTTGCAAATGGAATGGCCCGTTCTCCAAGCAGAACGGGTCGTTCTGCTTGCACGCATAGTCTGTTATTTTTTAAACTGGAACGTCCAAGCAGAACGGCCCGTTTTGATCCATTCGTCATGTGTGTATTTTTTGCATCCGGAACGGCCCGTTCTGAAAGGAGAACGAGCTGTTCTCCTTGCAGAACGGGCAGTACTGCAGGAGAATGGGCCGTTCTCCTTTCAGAACGGGCCGTTCCAGATCCAATTTTATACCATGCTTAGATCCAAAAACGTAAAAATAAAATATATAAAAAATTTTAACAGTTCAGAATTCGATTTCCGGGAAATTGAATTCTAAACATGAACAGTGAAAGGTGCTATTTAGGTAAATAAAATGATACAGATACTTTTTTGGTAAAAAAAAAAAAATTTAAATTATTTTAGTAAAAAATTCCCACCCATACACCGTATGATGTATTGATCAATCCTAGATTTTGCCTTTTTAGATATTTTATTTTTCAAAATACTTTGTTAACATCTAGCATTTTTTTTATTTCTTTTCATTTTATCACATTGTATTACCTATCATACTTTTATTTTTCTCCCTTTTCTATTTTGCTTTCTAGATATCAAATAGGTTTTCATTTTGCTTATTATGTGCGTTAACATTCAAGAGGATTGCACAAATAAAAAGCTCTTGAATGAGTTGACTTGGCTTCTAAGGGAAAATTTGGCTCTGACATGCATCATTAAACTTAAGGTCACTATTCACTAACTGTACACATCACTCTCCTAACATCATAATAAGCTACGTGAAAGAATGAATGAGCAAAGCGAGAAGAGTCGCAAACTCACTAAATGCATCCACACACTGCACTGTTGTGTACGAGGTATCACATGTATATGTTGTCCACTTGCACCCTCGTAGTCATTATTAATTCACACACACACAAAAGGACCAAGTTGTATCGTGTCCGTGTGTGTGGCTCTTACACTGTGCAGGAGCTTATGATGCATTGTAGCATAAAAGACGTGCACTACCTTGTATCATGATCCAAAATTAAAGTTAATGACAAATAGATGAGACAGTTCATTATGGCATATGCAATTATTCTGACAGTTAATAGCAATGAATGAAACAAATGCTGTCCGGCACTTCTGCGAATACCCTAATGGGCAATTTCTCAAAACCATGAAAATAGTCTCCTCGATATAAGATTATACATATAATTTCTCACTTTCTTTTTACTATAAAATGCACCATTGACTTAACATTGGAAATAATTAATAATCTTCCTTTAACTATTCGTGTCTGGTCATTAATAGGATGCCCATCTAACCCTTGGTGCTATTAAATATTAATGTATTACAATCTTCTATATTGATTGGCCTTCCCTGCTGATATTGCCATAATGATTTGGATAGTTTCTCCATTATAACGATTAAAATTTATCAACTTCTGCAAACTACAAAGTTCTCACCATCAATTAAGTGCTTTTATATATATTGAGATAACAATGACTCTAGACATATGAAAATGTCAATTAATATTACTTAATTATTACGAATATAATTGATTTTTATTCAAATTTCTGTAGTCATGTCATGAATTCAAGATTTGTTGATGAAAAATAAATAAGTAGTATGGAAGACACTACTAAAAATATTAACCAAGTTTCTTGACAACTATTAAAATTAGTAGATACTTACACTTTGCAAATGTAATATAATAATGAAAAGATATCTAAATGTCGATTTTGCTTCTCAAATCGCAAACATTGCCCATTTATCACAAGCATTTAAGAGTAATTAAGTAGAAAATCACATGTCTTAATTAGCTAGCAGAGGTCAAGACAGCACAAATGTTAATTGATTGATTATGCAGTTCCCTTTAACTTTTGCATAGTACTATGTCAGTTGTCAGACAAAAGATGAGAAAAGACATCAATTATACTGTACCAAGATTAGTTTTGAGACATGTACAAGATTAGTTTATAAATGCTGAAACCGGTTAAGGGAAGAAAGGAGGGGCCTAGAATACCCTGCTGATTTTGGCACATCATACTCACAATGTTTTCTTAACCAGTTGCTCTATATATATATTAAGCATTGAATGCAAGAAAAAGAGGGAGTTAAAATTGAACATGAGGGGAAACAAATATGAGTAGGGAAGTAAATAGGGGACAAGCATATAAGCGGCGATTTGGGGGTGAAAAATGGATTAATCGATAATTTGTTTGACGAATTATAATGAATTTGATAAAATAATTTATTAATTTATTTAAATTTATTAAAAATTTAATTCATTTAGTTCATTAAAAAAATCATTTAATTCATTCATTAATAATTTTTTTATAGATGAATATCCAATCTATCCATAAAAATAATATTTTAAAAATTAAATAATTTTCATTTTTAAAATATTTTATTTTTGTTTCATGTTTTTTATAAGTCAATATATTGTTATATATAGTCTTTTAAAATTTATAAGACTTTTTTTTTAAGTTGAAATAGTCTTTTAAAATTTTAATCCAATAAATTTTAAAAAAAAGTAGTGAATAAATTACTAACCATCTATAAATTAAATAAATGAATTAGATATGATCCATTATTTATTTTTATTATAATTAATGGATTGGATGAATTTATGATGGATCAGATAAATGATGAATAAATAGACTCATTTATTATTTTATTACTCCTAACAAAATATATACTTTATCCTAAAAGGGCAAGTCCTCAACATTGAAAATGCTTGCATGATTCTCTACTTTCATGGTTTTAAATGATAAACCACGGGAAAACTTTGTAAACCTTCCCATAAGTTTACTTTTTAGCATAATGTGAACCCTCCCTAAACCTACATAGCTTTCATTATCATCCTTTTATTTTAATGTGCCTTTACTTGAGCATAGATTTAGAATTCTAATATTGGTTTTTTCTACGATCGATCAATGGATTCTCTTTTCATGAACCAGCTAGATGGAGGCCTACGTCTTGCATATAAGTTTATCAACAAAATTATTTTAGATTTTGATTAGTTAAAGTATGTTTTTAAATCTAATATGTTATATATTATAAAAATAAAAAATGATAATTATAGTTTTCATAAAGCATTTAACTATAAGTAAAACTATTCAGATGCATTTTTCCTACAAATATGTTTTCTTACCAAAGAGATTTATAAGGATATATTTGAAAACTACTTACAAGTTAAATTGATGCTAATTATAGATTAGCAATAATATGACAAAACTAAGATCATTACAAAACGCTGAGACATGTACTTCAACTTCATAGTTTATCCGAATTCATGGAATCAAGGGAGTTTGAAAATAACTCATGCTTGCGTGTAATATATTTTGATAAATTAATTTTTTCTCTCTAATACAATAAGAAGGAAAAAAGAAAAAGAAAAAGAATTAAGAAATAAAGAATCCAGTTTAAAAAAATGAAAAATGCACAATATATAAAGTACCAAAACAAATGGAAATCATATTTGAGAAGCAGGACAATGAATTGACTTGCTAGTCATCTCTACCAAGTAATTATTAATGAACATGGTAACATTTCATTATTTCATTTCATAATAAAAGAGATCTTTCCTTAATCCCATTATTTTCCACTACGAAGATGTCATAGTGGGTGTTTGGACCTGTGCGTTCCAACATGAGAAAACGCATGTCCATTATACACTGCTACGTATAATTTTCTCATTAACGTGGAGTGGTAACGCAATTCTAAACACAGGTAATAATTTTGATAGAATTTTATGCAACTCATTATGGCAAAAATCTTATTAGGCCAAAACGAGAAAGAATAAAAAAGGACTTAACATGATATTGCATACCAATGTTGGATGAGTTTCATCCATATTACATATATTAATTTAGGACTACATTATGACACCGTTAACTGAAATTGGGTCACCGTGAATTTCTGCAATTTGGTCTTTGCCAAAAAGAGACTTGTTTCTGTTCTTAATTGGGGTTGGTGTTACTTGGAGGCAAACCTTGTAATTAAACACCATCCAGTCTTATATTTTGCTTGAATCTTCTTCCCCTGCTTTTTGGCCATTCACTTTTGTCTAGGTGGCGTTAAGCTCTATTCACACAATCCTTACCCGTCCTTGATAGTTGAAAGCTTAGACTTAAAAATTTCTTCCATAAAGTTACCTTGATGGGGTTACCTTCTCCAAGAGAGCTGATTCAGGAGAAGTGTTTCTTTGGTTTGTTGCTTACCTTATTTTCGAGCAAATTCCAATGAGTGTTTGTAATTGAAGCATAAGCGTGTAGCAGTTCATTGTCTTGAGAAACCAATGAATAAATGGTTTTGAAATCAGAAGTTGTAGGACTGAACAGAAAAATATAGGCAAAAATATATTTTTCGTCCCTTATATTATTTATTAGTGTCAATTTAGTCTCACTTTAATTAATTGAATCAATTTAGTTCCACATCTTTAAAATGTATCTCAATGTTTGATTTTTTGTCTCCTCCGTTTAAATACTTAACAGATATGACACGTGTATCATGCTACATGGATGGACATCATGACATGTGGCATGACACATGGCATGATAAATGACACATGGAATGACATATGTCAAATTCGTTAAGTATTTAAATGGAAGAAACGAAAAATTAAACATTAAGATATATTTTAAAGATGTAAAACTAAATTGATTCAATTAATTAAAATAAGACTAAATTGACACTAATAAATAATATAAAGAATAAAAAATATATTTTTACCAAAAATATATCAAAGTTCACACTCGAAAGAGTTAAATATAGGACATGTTATATCTTCAAAACACAATACATAATTCTTTTCTAACATGTCTCATACTTAAAGGACTTTGATTTATGTTACACACAAATAAAACATTATATTTTGTATCAAGAGTTTCAACAACTACTTATTTACTTTCGACATCAACACATTTACCATTTTTAACGGTGACTTTGGAGAGAACAAATAAGTTCCTTAAAAAAGCTAGTATTGTGAGTGTTTCTACTTAATTTCTCTCACGCAGACTCTTTTTACAGTTTTCTCTCCCTCATGGACCCTATAAAACCAATAAAGCTCTTAGAATCATGTTGAAAATCAAAACAAGTTGTTGGAGTGAACAGACTAAAGGAGAAATGAGCAAAATTTGATTTAATATATTTAAGATAAGCACTATCTTTGAAGTGCTTAAATACAAAATTATTAAGCCACTCGTTGTGCAAAGTCGAAAAACACTTGACTAAGCTATAGAAGTAAGTATTATTAGTCAACAATAAAAAATTTATTGCATGTTTGGTTACTCACATTTTCTCAATTGAGTAATAATGATTCATAATTAATCTATTTATCAACTTTTTAATTGAAGTTATTGATGTAACATATTAATAATGATATGATATTTACATGTTGACATGACAATCTGACTGGTATTAACATGACACCAATCATGTGACATTTTTATACTAACATGACACTAAAAGATCAAAATAATACAAACTTAATATTTATTTTGGATGAAAAAAATAGTTTATTCAGATTAAAAAAAATAAGAAAAATAATGCAATCTCAATTTTATTTTTAATTTTCACTTCGATTCAAAAAAAAAAAAAATTCAAAACCTCATTTTCCGTCCATTGTACCAAACTAGGAGTAAGTGATATGATGGTTACGTGAAAAAAAAAAAAAAAAAAAAAGCAAATGAAACGCTGTTACATCCATTTAATCCAGATGGTTTTTACTATAGAAATTATGAACAAAACATGGGAGAGGACCGTAGTCCAAGTTGACAATTTTCCACTAGCATAATCTCATTGCCAATAATATACATCAAAATTGTTAGGCTGAGATACACGGTAAGGTACGAGTGTTAGAAGGGAAGGATTTGCTTTGTTTCAATAGTGGAATAGGATAGACCAACGTCATGAGACATGAAGATTTTGAATCTCAATTTGTAGCGTTCTAAGTTTTTTCTCAACATTCGATAATTCATCCTGAATCCCTACTAGCCTGTTAAGTCTATTTTGCGCTTCATCTTGGTAAGGTTTGCTAAGGACTTCCACAAAGGTATCCAAATTTTCTATGGCTTCAATCAAATCCTTTTTCATGGCCTCTTCAAGTTCATATGCCAAGGCATCTGCTTTTCTTCTCACCTTATCTATTACCCTCTGCCTACGAGCTGGGAAATTTGAAATAACCAGATACCTGTAATAGAAAAAAATGTGAATACAGATAACAGCGACTAGTCCACAACCCAATCATGCAACCAAGAAGAACTAATTTTAACTATCATATGAAATTTTCAAATGAAAAAGAAAAGGAAAAAAGAAAATCAAGGCATGATCAGTTTAAACGTGCATAATCGCATTGCCAATAATACACTACACAACTGTGTGATGCAGCAAAAGAAACTCCAATCATGCTTTCAAAACACCACACCACCAATCATCAATAGAGTTTCGATCGGTTTACTACAAAAAGGTGTGGTAAAATGATCATCAGTTTGTGAACTGTCATGCCTGATAACAATGATAGAATAAAAATAAATATGGAGTCAGGATCAATGATCATGAAAAAGGTTAAGAGAGCTGGGATATTGAGTTGAATAACGGATGTTCATGTTCCTGTGCGGTAATAGTGCATGTTATGGCATAAAAGGAAACTATTCTTATTTTCACAGAAAAGTGCAGTCTAAATATGATTACTTTAGTAAAAGGTCTAAGATTGAAGAATATCAATCATTGATTCAATATGTATGCACACATCTTGAAATACAACCCTGAGCAATCAAAAAGGAACTCAAATTGAATATATTACCCGCCAACTGAACAAATACCAAGAGCAAGAAGATCTTCCAACGTGGTTTGCAGTACAGATGTCAGTAGTGAAGCAGATAAACCAGCCACACCTAGTTGACCAAAAGTCCCAATAATCTAATTTAAAAGGAAAATATTTTAGACCAGATTGTCTTATCAACAGTATAATAATATAATAATAATAGTATTAATTATAATTAATACATGATGCTAAAACTTAAATAACAAAGACAAAGTAAAAAATATAATATATACTACTCAGGAAGGTTCAGATAATATTCAAAAAGTATATGGATTTCCAGGGTCAACACAGACTAAATAGAGCAATTTTGCAGAGATCATAAACATAACTTGTTAACAGGAAAAAGACATCATTAACTTATTATATAGCTCCATGCCATATCACATGAAATATTTTAGGGACAACTTAGGGCACCAATTGTGGCATTGCGAAATTATAATAAAATACAAAGAAAAAGCAGCAACCTGACAAAAACATGCAGTGGTGAAAATTATTTCTCAACTTTTGAACACGCCTATAATCATTCATGTATTTGAAGCTTTTACAACTGACTAGCATGGCAGTACAACATTTAACCATAACTCTTTCTGAATAGCCTAGACATCCTTCAACCTCATTGTTATCAGTCGATTCAGCTCTTCCACAATTTTATATTTCACAAAGCAGCAAAGTCAATTATGCTAGTCTCCAATTAATCATCCACACATTTAAGTGAGAAAATCAAGAACATTACCAGATTGCTTAATTGTGGATTGTTTGAATTTCCATTTAAAATGCATGGGAGGTTAATTGCACATTTAGTCCCTAGTTCCACAAAAGCTTGGTTATGGTTCCCAGCAACAATAGAAATATTTCCCAGGTAATTTTCAAACAATTCAATTATGTTCCTCTATCAGTTAGTTGTTCAATTGAGGTGACATGACCATTATTTTGCTGATATGGAACAAATCCACATTAGCCCAATTGCCTTCGATTTAAGGGAATCTGATCAAGTAGCATAATTGCATCAGTTTCAAATCATGTGAGCAACATTACAGCAATTTAAACAACAGGGACCAAAATTTTGACTTCTATCAAACAAGGGAACCAGATTGCACTCAAGGCCCTAAAGAAAAAACAGTTCTAAATTATTTTACAAAGAATTCCAAGCTTACCATTTCCTGTACTTCTTGCTCAAATGACTTTGAAACTGCACTGCTGCTGAAATTGCCAATCAACTGGCTGCCAGCTTGATCCACTTTCTTTAACAACCGGTCTGTCTCAGAATTTATCAAACTACTTTCATGGCTCAGGGAGGGCCATCTTTTTTCAAAAGATTCCTTGTATATTCTCCCTTGCTGGGTATATTTGGAATATAACCAGCTTTCGTATTCTTCAAGCATTTTCTATGAATAAAAACTATTTTAGCATACCATTCTTATCTAACTTTTACTAATACAATATTATTCATTAAATCCAGCATTTATATCATTTGATATCTTGGCCCTTTTGGGGCTATCCCAATCAAAAGCAGGCTAAATTAGATAGTTGAATCAAACCATTCTGATAAGCGAGAATAAAAATCATTGCACTTTGATCAGGTTTTCACTAGTTTCCAGCACAAATCAGATGGTAAACAATACAATACCAAACCTAAAATCATAAACAAGTTATAGCCAGAAACAAACCTGGATGGCTAAGACAGCAGGACCAATTATGTCATTCTGAATCCTTGAGGTAGTAGGCATTGAACTTTTTTCTCCTTTGAAAGCATATGAAGCAATAATATCAAAATTTGACAATTGCAGATTAGCTTCAACAAGCTCTACGACACGTGATTTTGTAGTTTCAATCTGATAATGTATACAAAGGCATATTTAAGAAAATACCAATCAAGAGAAAATCAAATTGTACTGAATTTAATAAATTATAAACATCTTATAACATACCAAAGACAGAGTTTGTCTCCTCCAAGAAATGCTCTCAGTATCCATATTCATAGCAAAATCATTTACACTATTAACAATGTCTTTCAATGCAGTTAAATCCTGCTTGGCATATCGATAGTCTTGTGTCAGAAGAGTTTCACAAGAAGAAATTAGTCTATCTGCAATTCCAACCGGTGTTTCAAGTTTGAGCCTCATTCTGTCCATTCCTTGGATTGTTGACCCATCTAGAAAGCTATACAAGAAGTTTTCAAGTTCAAAGAAGCTGCTGGAACCACAACGAGAATCAGAGGTTGATAGTTCTTCATTAAGCCTCTCAACATTGGAGGTACCCATAAGTTTTGCTTCAAGAGCAGACCGAGCAGATACAGGATACAATATGACATCTTCAGTATTCAGCAATCTCTGTATATTGTCCTTAATGAAGGACATTGCTTCCTCAAGCTGCATTGAATTATGAAAATATGTAAACCTGGCTCAACAATTACACTACAAAAGAACTTCTTGATATAATATCAGCATGTCAATAACTAATAAGAATCAAAACCCAATGCATACCTCATGATTATTCTGATATATGTCAGCTTTATTCAAGACAAAGACTGCTTTCTTCTTCCATTGCTGAGAATAACGAAGAAAAGCAATCTGAAAACATAAAACAACACATCATACCCAGCTTTGTCAATGATAACAGATACAACACTAAAGCAAGAAAGTATGCCCCATGCACAATGTCTGACCATACCTCACTTCCAGTTAAAGGGCGATCAGCAGAAATTACAAAAAGAAGTAAATCTGCACGGGGTACAAATTCCTCTGTAAGACGCTGCTGCCTCTGAAGAATCACATTAGTTCCAGGTGTATCAACAATGGTCATCTGCTTTCAAAACAACAAAATAACTGCTGAGAGCATTCTAATTACAAACAGAAAATGGTAGTTATAGGGGACAATATAAAAAACTGAGTATTGATACACACAAGGGACAGGGTGGAAGCATAACAAATTGGCTTACTTCTTTCAGAATTGGAGCAGGAAGGTAGCAAATATATTGACCATCTGGATGCCTTTCACATCGTTGTTGTTCAATATCTAAGTCAGTATATCGTAAAAATGTGATCTCATTAGTTGTTGGGACAACTCCCTCTTTCAGATATCTTTCTCCAAGAAGTGCATTTATCACAGTAGATTTACCAGAGTTGAATTCCCCCTGGTAATATCAAGATTTAAAACAAAAATAAAGATAAAAGGCATGATATCATGTCAATTAACTTTTGCACTTTGGCTTTTGTATGAAAAGTTTAGGGTTTTGACATGATTTTGGCATTTCACCTGATTAAACCCCTTTGGAGTTAGAAATCAAATATTAGAATAAACAGTAAAGGAGAGCTGGAGAAACAAAAAAAAACAACCAAACACGTAGCATCGTTCAAGTAGAATTATAAGGAAAAGAACAGTGACCACAAACTATATGAAAAAGACTCTCCTGAGTCCTGAGGACAATAGTTTCTGAAGTTTGTAAAGACAGAAGAACCAACTACTCCCTATAAGTAAACCATGGATGAACGCTGTAGTAAATGCTTACGTTCAGGTGAATTAAAAGCAGAAAATTTTCACAACAAATAGCACTTATTAGTTAAGTAGTTTCTAACTAGATGTATTAAAAGAAGATTTCTTTTTGAAATTTAGAGCTAATACCAATGTATATTCCAGGAACCAGAATTTGTTGAGATTCAGCACACAATTACCACTATAACCAGTAAGAACGGCTCATCAATTTGAGAAACTGCATCATTAAGAAGTGAAACCTCCTCCATCTGTCATTCGAAACCAATCCCAATTAAACACAATCGCTTAATATACCGGTGAAAACACAGAATAACGAAAAAAAGAATTACTTCAAATACCAAATGTTTTAATTAAAAGATCACCAGAGGTGCAGCCTTCTTGATAACTTCAATAGCTTCATTCAACACCAATCTCTCTGTTTCTATCAACTGTTTCTCCCTATCCTCCAGTTTCACAAACCCTGCCACGACCTCCGTCTCACTGTGAAAACCATTATCCACATTCAATTTATCCTCACCCTCACCGGCATTCCCACCACCCTCACTCGCATACACAGTGCCAAAAACTTTGTGCAAGAACTCATCACCAAACAAACCAAAACCCTCCAAACTAGTAACAAAACCACTAGCACCAGAAGCAAGCAAACCCGAAGCATCAGCATAAGACATAGCATTTTTCCCCCACGAGACAAAAATAGGTATCTTCACGCTCTCGTACACAGAACCAACTTCGGAACCAACACGCTTCAGATCAGCACCACCATATACAAGAAAATCAGCCCCTTCGGATTTAGAAGCACTCACCGCAGCATCCACGGTGTGAACAATCCTAGCAACCAAGGGAAGAACCACCAGCTCAGACTTCGAATCAAGCATCGTATTTCTAGCAACAACAGTAGGAAGACCTGCACGAAATAAGATTCAAAAACATTTCACAATAAATGAGGCTCGGGTGTTCGACAAAAAGCTCAAGAGACTGGGTAGAGCAAAGGACCTTGGTCGGAGAGCAAAACTCCGCCGGCGGCAGCGGCGGCGGCGATGTCGACGCGCTCGGCGACTACCAAATAGGCGCGCTCTTGGAGCAGGGATTTCAAGGAGCACGCAGCTTCGTAGAGCTTACCGCCGCTTGCATCGTTGCTAGCGAGAATCACGATTCCGACCCATTTGGACACTGCTTTGTCGATAAGCGCCAAGGCGTGGTTGTCGGCAGAGAGAACTTCGTTGGGGTCCAATTGAAGGACGAGAGTGGGGAGCTTGAGCTCGGGCCTCTTGTAGCCGCCGGGGAAGAGGGTTCGCGGCGGTGGGGGGTCGGTGGGGCGGGAGAGTTGTTGGTTGAAGTGGGCGGAGGAGCCATTGGAGAGGGCGGAGATGGGGGGAGGGCGGTGGCGGAGGAGGAGGGGGAGAGGGGAAGGGCGGGAGAAGAGGGTGTGGCGTGGGATTAGTGCGGCGAGCGGCGAGGAAGGGGCTGTGACGGAGCAAGGTACCATGGATTCGGGAGTGGGAGAAAGAGAAGAGGGATTGCGTTATCGGACACCAATGTCCCTCCGTCACTGATATCTCACTTCTTTATCCTTTCTTTATCATCTTCGTCTCACCTAAACCACTATCTACATCAACTATGTCATTTCTTTATTTTTATTTTTCTTTACTTACTTATCTGCTCCCTACACACACAATAATTTACTTTTCTTTCGTTTCGTTTAGTATTTTATGCTTCAAATATTTTTTAAAATTTATTTTATTTTATTTTTTGGTTTTTATAATTTAAAAAATATTTTTTAGTCTATGTATTATCTTTTTCAATTATATTTAGTTTATGTAGTTCAAGATTTTTTAGTTTTTATACTTGTATTTTTTAATCTTTTAATTCTTTATTATCAATTTTTTTAGTATTATTTATTTTGTGTTGATGTAATATTAAATAGTTTTTAAAAATTTTAAAATTTATAAATTTGATTTATATATTAAAAAATTTTAATTTAATAATTAGATCGTTGAAATTTAATGAAAAGTATGAGTTATTAATTCAATAACTTATGTTTTGTATCAAATTTTAATAATTTAATCGTTAAATTAAAAATTTTAATACATAGTTTAAGTTTATAAATTTTAAAAAAAATTATTTTATATTTTATTTCATTAATTCAAAATAACATTTTATATGATTTGAATTTATAAAAGAGTATCGAATAATTTTTAAATCTTTAAAAGAAATTACAAACTTGATATGTGCATTCGAAACTTTTAATTCGATTAAATTATTTAAATTTAATGTAAAACATTAATTATTAATTAAAATAAGTCTTAGTAGACTTATTTTGTAAGTAAATAAACATGTAAAACATGTTCTTATATATATATATATATATATATATATAAAGAGTAGACTTACTCAACTCAATAACTTATGTACTATATTAAATTTCAATTCTTTATATATAGTTAAAGTCTACAAATATTCTTTATATTTATTAGCCTTATCAACTATTTTCTCTTTCATCTTCCTCATTCTTTTATTTTGCTAGTTTTGTTTTTTTAAAATCTTCTAACATCAACTAATCTCATTGAACTTAATTTGAAGATTGTCTAAGGTTACAAAGTTTAGATGCATTTGTGATTAACAATAAGTGTTGACACTCTTTGGTGATAACTTTTGCATTTTTTAAATTTATTATATAAAATGTTTATGTATATGATAGATCAAACTCTTATCATTTTAATTTGTTACATCAAATGACTAGGTATTTGTATCACTATTATATGAGCAATATTTTATACTTTAATATTTATTGCCAATTGCTAAGTAATTTTATTATCTCAATGTTATTTAACTCTATTGTAAGATTGAAAAAAAATCACGGTTATTAAAATGCCAAAAAAAAATACCTTTCTAGAAACTAAAATAAGTAACTTTTAAATATAGTGACTAAAAGATAAAGGTTGTGTAAGCATAAAGATCCAAATATAAAAATAATATGCTTAGTTGCATATTTTGTCACGCATCTTTAACAATTTTTGCAAATTTTGTCATTTAACTTTAAACATTTCACATTTTGCCTCCTAACTCTCAAAATATTTTTTCACTTTATTAATTAATCATTTGACATTGTAGGTTGAATATTAATATAACATATTAACTATTGATGTAACATATTGACTACTAACTTGAACATGATTTGACATATCAACAATCAATGTATCAAGTGAACTTGTTACATTAATAATCAATGGTCAACTAGCGAATTATTGATTAATATATTTTAATTTCATTTTATTTTAAAAATATTAAACTTAATTAAGATTTTAATTTTAAGACAAATTCTAGGGTCATGTGTCTTCATTTCTATCCTTTAATTAATTTAAGATCTAATTTATTATTATGCATTATGTATTATATTTGACTCTTCCTTTCTTGACCACCAACCACCATTACCACCGTCGAAACAACAATGATCATTATATCTCGTTGTTATTGTTATCCTCCTCACTTTTTTCCTCATTTCCAATTTTCTTCCCTTTTTTTCAAATTATCACTAGGGTTTGATGTCGGGGAGCTCGATAACAATCTTGAGCAACAACCTCCAAACCACAGTGAGAATCAACACGAGAGGAAGTGGTCCTTGGAAAAGGAATTGGAGAGGCACTATATAAAGTTGATGATAATGGCAAGGTAAACATTTGAGGCGATGGAGGAGTGGAGGCAATGAAGGAAGACTAAACTAACGTATAAACACAACTACCTAGAATTCACATACTCACAATATTTGGATATACATGATGTAACACACACACACATACATACATACATACATACATACATATATATATATATATATATATATATATATAT